CGGGGGGCGCGGGGTCCTCCCCCTCGGGGGGGGCGGGGCTGGGGGCGGGGGGCGCGGGGTCCTCCCCCTCGGGGGGGGCGGGGCTGGGGGCGGGGGGCGTGTCCCCGAGCAGGGGGGAGTTGGGGGCGGAGCCGTAGAGCGTCTCGGGGGCCTGAGGAGAGGGGCGGGGTCAGTGGGCGTGGCCACGGGACAGGTGTGAGTGGTGGGTGTGGCCACGGGGGAGGTGTGGGGGTGGGACAAGTGTGCCCGGTGGGTGTGGCTACGAAAAGGTGTGCCCGGGGGCGTGGCCATGGACAGGTGTGCCCGGTGGGTGTGGTCATGGACAGGTGTGCCCGGTGGGTGTGGCCACAGCACAGGTGTGCCCGGTGGGTGTGGCCATGGACAGGTGTGCCCGGTGGGTGTGGTTACAGCCCAGGTGTGTGTGCCTGGTGGGTGTGGCCATGGACAGATGTGCCCGGGGGGCATGGTCGCAGCACCAGTGTGCCCAGTGGGCGTGGCCATGGACAGATGTGCCAGTAGGTGTGGTCACAGCACAGGTGTGTGGGCATGGTGGGCATGGCCATGGACAGGTGTCCCCCAGTGGGTGTGGCCATGGACAGGTGTGCCCAGGGGGCGTGGTCACAGCACCAGTGCCCAGTGGGCACGGCCATGGACAGGTGTGCTGGTGGGCGTGGACATGGACAGGTGTGCCCGGTGGGTGTGGTCACAGCACAGGTGTGCCCGGTGGGCATGGCTGTGGACAGGTGAGCCCAGGGGGTGTGGCCATGGACAGGTGTGCCCAAGGGGCGTGGTCACAGTACAGGTGTGCCTGGTGGACATGGCCATGGACAGGTGTGCCTGGTGGGCGTGGACATGGACAGGTGTGCCCGGTGGGTGTGACCATGGACAGGTGTGCCCAGTGGGTGTGGCCATGGGCAGGTGTGCCTGGTGGGTGTGGTTACAGCACAGGTGTGTCCAGTGGGCGTGGCCACGGACAGATGTGCCCAGTCGGTGTGGCCATGGACAGGTGTGCCCAGTGGGCGTGGCCACGGACAGGTGTGCCCAGTGGGCGTGGCCACAGACAGATGTGCCCAGTCGGTGTGGCCACGGACAGGTGTGCCCGGTGGGCGTGGCCAGGTGTGCCCGGTGGGCGTGTCCATGGAGAGGTGTGCCCGGTGGGCGTGGCCATGGAGAGGTGTGTCCGGTGGCGTGGCCATGGACAGGTGTGCCCAGGGGCGTGGCCATGGACAGGTGTACCCAGTAAGTGTGGCCATGGACAGGTGTGCCCGGTGGGCGTGACCAGGTGTGCCCAGCGGGCGTGGCCATGGACAGGTGTGCCCGGGGGCGTGGCCATGGACAGGTGTGCCCGGGGGCGTGGCCGGGGCTCACCGCGTAGGTGAGCGGCTCCTCCGCGGGGGCGTCGCCGCCCTCGTCCCCGTCCAGGTCACTCAGCGCCCGGCGCATCTCGGGGCCCAGCGCCTGCAGCGTCTGCAGCCCGGCCTGGGGGACACGGGGGGTCACTGCTGACCCCCGGGGACCCCCGGTGACCCCCCCGGCCCCGCCCCTGGGGGGTCCCACCTGCAGGGCGCTCTCGTTGCTGGGGGTGGCGCTGGGGCCCAACATCCCCCGCTCCTTCCGCCGGCGGAACTTGCGGAAATAGTCCTGGATCAGGAAGGTGGCGTAGAACTTCCCCACGGTGACCTCCTCCTCTGGGGGGGCACGGGGGGGTCAGGGGGCTCCCGGGGGGTCGGGGGGGGTCGGGGTGGGGGGCTCGGACCTCACGCACCCTCGGGTGGGGGGATGACCTCGTCCAGCAGCTTCGGCTTCGTCCGCTTCCAGATCTTCTTGACCACGGCCCGGAGCTCTTTGTTGGCCACATCCAGGTTGCCTGGAGGGACACGAGGGACAGCCGGGACCGTCACCCCGTGACTGTCACCCCCCGCTGCCCCCCGGGACCCCCCCGGGCCCCCCCCAGCTCCCAACCTTCCGTCTTGATCTTGAGGGAGGTGCGGACCAGCGCGAAGAGCGTCGCGTTGAAGGTGACGGTCCCGTCCGAGTTGAGGGGCATGTTCATGGCCACCAGGCGCTGGGGGGGGACGAGAGAGGGTAAACTCGGGTGCCTCCCACCCGGGACCACCCCGGGAGACCCCCCAGGGCCCCCCCTGGGAGCCCCCAGACCTTGCAGGCCACGCGGTGGGGGCAGAGCTTCCCGAAGCCCAGCGGGGGCTGGATCCGGCGCAGCAGCGTCACCACGTCCAGGTGCTTGATGCGGCCCCTGGGGGGGGTCGGGGGTCAGGGGTCGGGGTCACGAGGGGTCAGGGGGGTCACGGGGGGGGCCGGGGGGACGGTGACACACTTGGCAGCCGGGTCGTACTCGGACCACACGCGCTTGAACTCGTCCAGGTGGTGCGGGCCCAGGATGGACCAGTCGCGCGTCAGGTAGTCGAAGTTGTCCATGATGACGGCCACGAACAGGTTGATGATCTGGGGGGGCAAGGGGGGGCTCCTGAGGGGCGGGTAGGGCTGTGGGGCAGGGCTGTGGGGCAGGGCTGTGGGGCAGGGTTGGGGTGTAGGGCAGGGCAGGGGTCAGGGCTGAGGGTGTGGGGCAGGGACTGTGGGGCAGTGGCACTGTGGGGCAGTGTCGGGGTGTGGCCATTTCAGGGCGTGGCAGGGTTGGGTGTGGCACTGTCGGGGTGTGGCAGTGTCGGGGTGTGGCAGTGTGAGGGTGTGGCCGTTTCAGGGCGTGGCAGGGCTGGGTGTGGCACTGTCGGGGTGTGGTAGGGCCCGGGTGTGGCACTGTCAGGGTGTGGCACTGTCAGGGTGTGGCAGTGTCAGGGTGTGGCACTGTCAGGGTGTGGCAGTGTGAGGGTGTGGCAGTGTCAGGGGGTGGCAGTGTCAGGGTGTGGCAGTGTCAGGGTCTGGCAGTGTCAGGGTCTGGCAGTGTCAGGGTGTGGCAGTATGAGGGTGTGGCAGGGAAGGGTGTGGCAGTGCCCAGGTGTGGCAGTGTCAGGGTGTGGCAGTGTCAGGGTGTGGCAGTGTCAGGGTGTGGCAGTGTTGGGGTGTGGCCATTTCAGGGTGTGGGAGGGCTGGGTGTGGCAGTGTCAGGGTGTGGCAGTGTTGGGGTGTGGCCGTTTCAGGGTGTGGGAGGGCTGGGTGTGGCACTGTCAGGGTGTGGCACTGTCGGGGTGTGGCAGTGTCGGGGTGTGGCAGTGTCGGGGTGTGGCCGTTTCAGGGCGTGGCAGGGCTGGGTGTGGCACTGTCGGGGTGTGGCAGTGTCAGGGTGTGGCAGTGTCAGGGTGTGGCCGTTTCAGGGCGTGGCAGTGTGAGGGTGTGGCCGTTTCAGGGCGTGGCAGTGTGAGGGTGTGGCCGTTTCGGGGCGTGGCAGGCCCGCGCCCTCACCAGGAAGGCGCAGAGCATGAAGAAGCTGATGAAATAGGCGATGGCGAAGTTGCTGCCGCAGGTGAACTCCTCCCCCGGCTCCGCGTCCGACTCGGGGTCGCAGCGTTTGCCCGGCAGGCTGGCCAGCATGATCTCCTGCCACGCCTCCCCCGTGGCACACCTGAACCCACAGGTACACCTGAACACCCCCCGGGTACACCTGAACCCCCCCAGGTACACCTGAC